GAGCACAAAGGATGAATTATCCTAACTCCCAAAGACGGTGGCTTTTTTTTTTTTTTTTTTAATAGTTTATGGTCAAGCTGGTTTCCATAGAACACCCAGTGCTCATCCCAACAAGTGCCCTCCTCCATGCCCATCACCCATTTCCCAGAGGGTGGCTTTTTAGGATTATCACATCATTTGCTGGAAACCTGCAAAGAAAACAAGGTCTACTACCGGGCTTCTACACTGCTGGTCTCTCGGGTTTGGTAGTGGCAGTGGCAAAGTTCCACTCTGTAGTCATTAGTTCTACTAGTTTGTTTCTAGGGCTTTGGGTTAGGGGCGGGAGGGTGGAAATCCTGGAGGTCTCAAGAACATGTTTAGGAACATTAGTTTCCAAAGATTAGAAGACTCTAGCTTTCGGGGCACCTGGATGGCTTAGTCGGTTAAGGGTCCGACTTTCGCTCAGGTCGTGATCTCACGGTTCGTGGGTTCGAGCCCCGTGTCGGGCTCTGTGCGGACTGCCAGCTCAGAGCCTGGAGCCTGTTTCAGTCTGTGACTCTCTCTCTGACCCTCCCCTGCTCACGCTGTCTCTCTAATAAAACATTAAAAAAAATTTTAAAAAAGACTCTAGCTTTCCTTCCCCCCACCCCCTTTCCTGCAAACCATACCTAATTCTTTCCAACATGTACTAAATCTGACACTTTCACGTATGCAGAGAAGTTTTTGGATTTTTTTTTTAGGAGAGCAAGCACATACATGAGCAGGGGAGAGGCAGAGAGAGAATCTTAAGCAGGCTCCATGGGTAGGGGGCAGGGGGCAGGCCCTGAGATTAGGACCTGAAATCAAGAGTCTGAGGTTTAAACAACTGAACCACCCAGGCACCCCACCCTCCAGACATGTTTTTGTAGGACACCCTATGCTAAGGCACCAAACGGGACAACACGGCACTAGAGGCTGAAGGTCTCCTAGGCTTAGGGAAGGGATTCTCAACCTCCGTAAACCTGTAGGGGCTTTCTTTGGTTTAGAAAACTGACTCTTTCGGGAAGCTTGGGGGTTTCATTTGGTTAGGCGTCTGACCTCCGCTCAGATCCTGATCTCTGGGTCTGAATTCCAGCCCCATGTCAAGCTCTGTGCTGAAAGCTCAGCCCGGAGCCTGCTTCGGATTCTGTCTCCTACTCTGTCCCTCTCCCACTCAGTCTCAAAAATAAACATTTAAAAGACCATTAGAAAAAAAATGGCTCATTCCCTGAACTTAGGGATCACCTGAGCAGTCAGGATGTTCAAAACAGAAGAGCAATCATTTCCAAAGAGCTAGAAGTGACCACTTTATTGTAATGAAATATCCGAACGACAGAATTCTAGGCAAACCCCTACTTCAGGTCTTTCCACAAGGCGTTTTGCCCTCTTCCTCATCGGTTGTACCTAAGGAGCTTACTCTCCCCATCTACAGTTTCACACTATTATTTGTGCCCATTTCTCAAACTCGGACAAAAGTTATGCGAAGTGGTGGGAATGCTCATTCTATACGAAAGTCACAATTTAGAGCGATTACAGAAGCCATACATGGAGAAATGGCAAGAACAGGAGTATAGGATTCATGTAGGAAGTTATCAGATACCATTTTACTCTTTAATTCCTGCTTATTTCTAGTTTAAGAGCCAATTCCTTTCACACTTTAAACTTCAGGAGAACAAAAACACTACGACCACTTATTAGAAGCCTACAGACCTGCAGTCTAAACCTGTATCTGAATACCTCTGCTATGGGGATGATGTTGGTTGGTCAGCGTCCTCCAACCTTCTCGTCACCATGAACACTTACTACATTTCAATGCTGCAGGTCTCCAGGTTTTCCAAAGGCTCAATAAATAGCCTTTATGATTTGCCTTATGAGGAAACTGCTTTGCTTATCTGGGTCATGGTTTTGCAATTAATACCAATCCCACCTTTAACTGATGATCTATAGTCATATGAAGTTTATTATTGTAGAGTCCTGATGGTACCAAAGTCATCAAGGTAAATAAGCATCAGGCTTAGACACTATTCAGAACTAAAGTCCTTTTGCCAGTAGCAGTTATTTCATATTGGTACCACAGGTGAACCCCTGGGTATGTTCACTTTAGGGATGTGACCACCTGGTACGTAGCTCTCCGTATCTAGATCCACCTTCACTTCCAGAATTTTCTGTAGAGCCATCAGTAGTCCCAGGGCCTAACTGGCATGGCCCTGTTTTAGTCAACTGAGATTAAGGCTACTAAGATTTCTATAATAACTCCTGGATAAAACCCCTAACTAGCTTTGTGGGCCTTTCTAGTCAAGTAAAAGGAAAACAAAACACTGCAGCTGAGCTCTAGTTCACAAAAACTCACCATCCCTTCAGGGAGGGCCAGGAAAGTCAAGGGAAGGCTCTTCTGTCGCTTGTCCAACTTTGGCTCAGGTCATGATCTCACAGTTCGTGGGTCCGAACCCTGTGGCAGGTCAGAGCCTGGAGCCTGCCTCGGATTCTGTCTCTTTCCCTGCCCCTCCCCTGCTTGTGCTCAGTCTCTCTCAAAAATGAACAAACATTTGAAGTTTTTTTTGTTTGTTTGTTTTTTTAAATGAGGACTCTTTCAGATCTCAATCTGAGAGTTTCTAAATTCTCAAAGTTGTGAGGAAGCATCAACATACATTGTCAGGAACAATTTAAGCACCAAATCCTTTTGCTAGATGATGGACTACTTAAAGATACAGTATTAAAAAAAGAAAGAAAGAAAAGAAAAAATACAATGGATTAGTGATTTTGCAATTATGCTGTGATTTTTATAACACACAACTGTAGAATTCAAGATGTAAAGTTTCTGGTATTAATTGACTTATGCATTAAATTCATAGGAATATAAATTCCCACTTCACACTGTCCTAGGAGAAAATCTACTGCCAAAAATTGTTCCAACTCCCTTTAGGAAGCAGTACATTGTGGGGGTGGGGGGCGCGGAGTGTGGGGACTTCGGAATAAAAATACTTAGGTTATGTGGCCTCCCCTAATAAAAATTCACAGAAGTTAATGTGACAGCACTCTATGCTCAACATTTACAGAGCTGAGGTTTCCAAGTATTTTTGCTGAGATCAGATGCAGTGTTTTATTGTTTACATTTTGGTAACCCCCGGTTAAGGTTAGAACAGCTCCCTTAGTACTGGGAAAGTATTTGGTTTGACAGTTCAAATAACTTCTGTAGAAACATTGCACTTAAATAGGCCAGTCAGAGCTTCAATGGTTAACAAGGAGTTTCAGTAACAAAATGGGAGCAGCACAGAATAAATCAGCTACCAGTAACTTTTTACAGAAGCAGAACAGACCAGACAGGAATACCTTTAGTTTCATTTTTATAGTTTAATACACTAAAAACAAGCTTCAATGCAATACGAATGACCAAAGTGTTGACAGGCTGACATTCAGAAGCTTTACATGGCCAGACAGGTCAAGAATTACTTACACTTAGAATAAGGAGGACTACTGAAGTTCAAAGTTGTCTGACCTATGGAGTGCAGAAACAACAGGTGACCGCAGCACACCGATGAGGAAGCAGGTACTTACGTGGGGAGGAACGGAAGGCGCACAAGCACTCCACGGGGCGCGCACAACTGACTGGAAGACTGGGGATTTCAATCACACCCCCTGGTTTGGGATTAGGAAACGCTCAGACTGCTCATCTCCTAAATGATGTGTCTGTCTGGAGGATACCAAGGTCATTTCCAGCTCTAGCATTCTGTGACTGCATTACCAACAGGGTTAGGTTCTTGAAGGTTCTGTGTAATTAGGCACCAGCTGTACAGAATCGTCCCCCACGTACTCCCAGAGAACGAAGGATTCCAAAACAGCTTCTTAGTTCAGGTGTGTTTTTTTAAAGGCTGGATAAAGGAGGGTAGTAGGAAGACTACATGTAAGTAAGCAAAGCTGCCGTGGTGTTTCAGAAGGCCACTCCGACGCTCCCCAGATTTCTAAGAAGTGCTTAACGTGCTGAATACTTCAGAAAATAAACATCTATGCATCTAGATGTGCCTTGGGCAAATTACAAGCCCTCTGGGTCTCCACATTTTGTCAGAGACGGTTAGATTTCTACTGAACCTTTTAGGTTCAGCACGCTATTAGAAAGATTTGCTAGACAGATTCCCATTTACCCAATTAGGGCAATCGGAGTCAGGACTTTCCTCTGTTGCAGAGCATTAGACCCCTGGAATCTGGTTTTAAAACTAAAGTTGGCAGACAGGACACCAGAGACAAACTCCTTACCTCTTTGCTATGCAAAAACAGAGAGGAAAAAAACCGAAAAAAAAAAACAAACAAACAAACAAACACGCATTCCTTACCAAATGGTTACGCACCAACCCTTTACTTTTCATTAATCGTGCGTTTCATTAGGCCTGCCCAGACCAGGAATTATCAACCTACAGCAACTCTACGAAGCTGCGTACCTTCTCTGGGGTTTGGATTTGAGGTCTTCATTATATAGCAGTAAAGTAAGCTTGTTAACTTTTTTATTCCTGGAGGTAAATTCCTACCCCTTCGCCCTAGCGAAGGCTGCTCTAACAGAGGTGGCCAGATTCCACCTGTTTCGTCTAATTACACAACCATTAAGACCCACAGCAAAGCCTAGCTCCAGCTGAAGTAAGGTGGGCAAGAAGGCGCCACCGCTCTTAAAAATTAAAGTTGATGGGAGCTGCGTTGTAACCTGGCCGGAGCGGAGCCCCAGCGGGTGCAACCACCGCACGGCGAGCGCTGCGGGTCTCCCGATGCCAAGCTGAGAGCTTCTGCCAACGGGAAGCGGGATGGGGGAGAGGACGCGTCCCCGATGCCCAGCCGGCTGATACACGAAAGGATCCCCCCCCCCCCCTCAAAGATTCCCTTAAACCTTAAAGGCCAACAAAAATAGTGCACGGGGTAAATAAGGGCAGAGGGCAAGCGCCCCAGAGCTCTCCGGGGAGAGCAAACTCCCGGGAAGAAGAAGTGGCGGCCGGAGGCGCCGAGTCCGGCGCGCAACTCACCTTCTGCTGCCTCCGGGCCATGTCGGTGGGCTGCTTGGCGTTGAAGGGGTACGCGATGCACCTCACGACGAAGACGTAGAGCTGCAGGCGGATCCTCCGCTCCTGCTCCTCATCCAGCTGCCTGTCGGGCTCCTCTCGCCCCTCGCTGAGCACGGAGGGGCTCGGGCTCACGGGTCCGGCTGCGCTGCCGCCGCCCGCGCGCCCCGGCGCGTCCCGCCGCCCTTCGCGAGCCGGGGCCGGGGGCGCTCGCTGCGGGCCGCCGGCCGCCACCAGCACATCGCGGCTCTCCTCTTCCAGCCCCTCGTCCGACTCCTCCTCGCTGGAAGACGGGTCCAGCATGGTGCTCGGGGCGCCCCGCCGCTCGGCCCGCGGTCCTCGGGCGCTTCCCCACTGCAGCCGCGCCCGCCGGTCCGGGGGAGCCGCACGGCTGGCAGCCGCGACCGCAGAACGAAAGGGAAACTGGCCAGAGCTTTCCGGACACGTCGAGTTACAGACCGGAATGTTTCCTACCACCAGGGCGAAAGGGGCGGGCAGGAGCAGGGAGCTGGAGGGGGGGGGGAGCCGCCGGGATTAAATAGGCGGAGTTAGCGTTGGAGGTGAACGTGAGCGCCTCGTGAATTCCTCTGCCCGCCCGGCGCCCGCCAACCCCGTGATCCTGCAACGCCGGCGGGCAGGGGCGGGGCGGCCCGAGCACCCGGACGCAGGTGGGGAACCTGTGGCTCCTACAACAAGCAACACGTGGAATAAAATGTTGAGCCGGTGCGGGGTCGTGGAGTACGCGTGCGCGCGCCGCGGCTGCTGCGGGGCCCAGGAGCCGGGGTGCCGGGGCTGGCAGTTTGCAAAAGCATGGAGGGCCTGGACGAGCCCGCTCGGTGTGCATTCCCGGGTTTGCTTGCACTACCTTGACCCGCCCCCCCCCATCAGTCTTTTCTCTCCCTCCAGATTCCTAAAGGGCAGGTGGACGGGGGCAGGAGAGTCGCCCCTACTCCCCCCGCCCCCCCCCCACCAGGTGAGGAAAGGAGCCAGAACATACCTCAGACCCGAATCGGATGCCCAGATTGAACCCAAGTGCGGAAAAGTGTGGCCGGAGCCACTCATCTGAAAATAATGTGGAGGAGAGACTTTGAAAAGTCTCTCGCTGTGCTCTGCTGCTGTTTGCTGAAGTCCAAAATATAAAGTCAGAGGAACGTTCTTGACCCCCCACCCAGAAAAAACCAAACAGACAAAAAACGAAACACGCTAGGCTTTCTTTTTAAACTGTTTTTATTCCCGCAGACGCATGAGCAAAATAGATTTTGTCTTTTTGCAATGGCACTTTGGTGCAGCTCACACAAAGCCGGATTATTTTCTGGGCTGGGGAGGAGATGGACTCCACACAGTTTGTGTAGTGTAGATACATACTCAGCCAGTGTTTGAGCACACGCCCGTTTTCCGGCACTGTTAGCAGTTGGCGGAGCCTGCGGGGCTCGCTCACCGACACGCAACACTTGGTCATTGTTGGTTCTGGCCTCAAGTGGGCGTCTCGAGGCTGCACCTGAAGCCTGTCTTATCTGCACAGATTTCTCAGGCTCCATGCTGGAACCACCTGGAAGTTTCTTCTCGTGATTTCTGTTTCTGATGTTCTTAATCCGGTCAAGAGGGGGAGTGGGCAAACAGTGCTTTCAACACAAAATGCAGGGTACTGTGGCCAAGCTGGCAGGGAGACCATGAAGCACAGGGGAAATATCACCAGGCAGATGACGCCGTCGGCGCTGGGCTTGTCCACTCTGTGGCCAAAAAGCAGTTCTAGGTTTTTTAAGCCACTTCCACAGTTAGGTACACAAGAGAGAGGCTTTCCTTCTGCATTTACTGACATTCTCCCTAGATGGGGTAAAAAGACAAGGAGGCATTTACTCCTAGGGAGTCTTGCTTATTTATCAACCCTTAATGGGCGCCCATAATGATAACATGTTCAGTGAGGACGTTACTGCTGGCAGATCTCCAGCTTTCGAAGCAATAGGAAATCTCAGAAACTGATGTGCTTAACGAATGTTTTATTCTCGACAAGGTAAACCATAAATTATAAGACTGTTCATTTCAGTCATAGTATACATAACAATAATACATACATAGCAATTTACATTTTGCAAAGTTTTGTAAATGGGCTTATCTAATGCCATCAAAGTAACTTTTGGATAGCAAGCAATGATGATGGTGATGATGTAAGTGCTTTGTACGGACTGTTGCACGAAGCCCTTTACATCCATTATTTCATTTATTTGTAGTCCCTTTGTACAGATAAGGATCCTGAGATTTAGAGAACCCTCTTTCCTACAGAACTGTGGGAACAAAGACTCAACATTGTTGAGTCCTTTCTAGTTCTATATAGTGGCTTTTTTTTCCTATTGTAATCTGTCTGATTATAAATCAGTATAGTAAATGTAGGATGTTTATTAAACTGATAATTCAAGTAACAATTTAAGTCTTGGTAACTAAAAGTACGATTTAAATATAACAGCTTTATTGCCCTTTCTTTTCTTGCCAAAGAAAGGTATATTTTTTATTCCTTAGTGATTTAGTTATTACTACTTGATATGATAGCTTTTTATTCTCTTCCTATTAAAAATAGTTATCAAACTAAAGGTTCTTCAAGCCTTGGGGATCCGATTGGAAAACATCTTATAATTTTTAGAGTAAGATCGACAATGGGGGCACTTGGGTGGCTCAATCAGTTGAGTGTCTGACTTTGGCTCAAGTCATGATCTCACAGTTCATGAGTTTGAGCCCCACATCAGGCTCTCTGCTGTCAGCACAGAGCCCGCTTCAGATCATCTGCACCGCCCTACCTCCTTTGCTCATACTGTCTCTCTCTCTCTCTCTCTCTCTCTCTCTCTCAAAAATAAACATTTTTTTAGAAAAAAAGATATAAAGTGTTTTCTCTATGAAGACGAAAATGGTTTAAGGGGCATAAATTAGAGAAATATCCAAAAGACAACAAAGAGAATGTTTAAGGATTTCATTAATTAAACATACATCTCTTAAGACACTAGCATATGTCCAAATTATGCTGGGTATACTTAGAAAAACAAGATAGAGTCTTGAACTTTTAAAAGTTTGTAGATTAAAGAATGGCAAATGAGAAAGTGATTTATTTAAAAAACAGAAAATAAATAGTGATATTGCAATCTGATGATTCTGACATCCCCAAGGATAATGATAATACAGAGAACTGCCTCATGCAGGATAGAGTAAAGGAAGGATGCTTGATGTATGTCGTGAAGAATGATTCAGAGCTATTAGCATGAGGGCACTTGGAGGCAGGAGGAACTGGGTTTGCGAAGGTATGCCATTGTTTGCCACGTTTGGAGGACTGCAGGTAAACTGGCACGCCTGAGGAGAAGAACGCGTGTGAAGATGAAGGGAGTGAGAGCGAGAAGAGGCAGAGGCAAATTCAGCGTCAAGCACGACGATGAGCAGGGATCCAAACGGGGCTGTACATGGAGGCTTGAGACCGTACAGCGTAAGGTGACCCTTAACTCTCAAGTCATCTGGAACAGTGCAAGGGCAGTGAAGTCAGAAGCAAAATACCAATGAAATTACTAAAAAAAAACATCAGGGAGAGAAACAATGAGGGCTTGACTTTAAACAGGGGACAAGAAGAGGGACACATAGAAAGACAAAGGAATTTAAATGAATGAGGGGCTGAGGAAGAGGTTAAGGAAAGAATATGATTGTCAGGGTAGGGTAATTTCACTATGGGCTTCTAGAAGACACATAGGTTTGGCGAAACGTGAAGCTTTGAGCAATCTATCATAGAGATCCTAAACTTTCTATCCTAGATCAGGAGGTACAAAGCTGTTACTCAATTCTCTTAGCAAATAAAGGAATCATCGGCCCATTGGTGCTAGTTGAAGCCACAGATGTAGATGACAAGGCCCAGAAATCATGTTCAGAGTGAGAAGAAAGCCAACAATGGGTTCCTGGGGAACCCTCACAGCCTCTTCTCCAATTAAAGGATGGTTCAAAGAAAACGAACCTGAAGAGACAACCTGATCATTAAAATTTAATTGTTCTTAGTTAACATTTTTTATTTTGTGCTTACATGGATGTTCTTGCCAAATTCCTACCTTAAATATTAGCTTTCCAGGAAGTATAACATCAGGTGATGCTCCAGAATAATTGAATAAATGATGCCCAATATAAGGCTATGATTGGCTTGCACCATTTCAAAAATACACAAAACACACATGAACTTATTCAATGATTCATTTTTACTTTGGTCAAGGTGAATGTAAAAACAAATTGAACTTATACTGCTTTTTAATGAAACACCTTTAATGCCAGCGAACGATGGAGACACGGTAATGAAATAGAATATAAAAATGTGTTTTGGCGATGATATTTAAGGAAACAGGTGTGTGACCTGAATAGCTATAGGTGGTCTGTTTTCTGGTTAAGAATTGGTTTGTGCATTTGACCTGAAAGGAAGGTATTAACTCTTTCAAGTCACAGATGAAATCGTTCTTTCACTGAACAGACATTTTTTTGGGCATCCACTCTAGGCTCTGCTCTATTCTGAATAGATAAAAACAATAAAAGTTAGTCCCTGAGGCAATGCATATGAAACAGACATGAGCAAAATAAGAAATTATGGTAATATATGCTCTTGTGGCAATAGAGAAAAAATTCACAAAATATCCCTTAAGTGTGTCGGAATGGGACAGTCTATTATTTTTTGTAGTCTAGTTATCACTAAAATAATATTACAACAGAGAGAGGAATCTTTTTCAGGTCAAATAGAAAGACCAGTTCTGCAAATATGTACAGGAAAACTGTCAAGTCACAAACCCAGCTAAGAAAAAGAATATGTATTTACAGAAGCAAGCTAAAAACAACAAATTTGAAGATGAATATTTATATCTTAAAAGGCAATAAGCCCCCCAGGGACCTCATTTAAATCCCTTTGTTCTCTTTGCCCAGCTTTCCCTGTTTCCTCCTCTCTAGTTAGAATTTGAGTTCTAGCAGAGAACTGTTCCAGGACTCCACTTTTTATAGATAATGGGCAAAATAGATGCAAATGATTAGCCCCAATTGACCAGTAAATGAGTAGTCCACGCTGATACACAGACACATGCACATAAACACGTAATATAGTCAAAGGATTCTGGTGAAGATAAAATAAGATAATGCACGTAAAGTACCAAAAATCTATTTAATACAGAGTTTGTATTTGAAATGTTAATAGAGAAAAAAACTATGTGAGTTTTTTGTGGGAATGGAATTATGCTCATAAATGGATAAAGCAATAACAGGATTTTCCCCATCTACCTTTCATAGTTTTCTTGAACTTATATTGACATTGCTGCTGAACACATTTTTTGCCAATCAATAACATTTATTGAGTGCCTATTCTATATTAAGCACCGTACTAGGACACTGTAAAGAGA